AGGAGAAGGAGAAGGAGAAGGAGAAGGAGAAGGAGAAGGAGAAGGAGAAGGAGATGATCAACATTCGAATGAGATCAGTGGTTCTCAACCAGGAATAATTTTTGGTTCAGCAGGACGTTTGCCAACGTCTAGAGACATTTTGGTCGTCACACTGGCTCTGTGTGTGTGTGTGTGTGTGTGTGTGTGTGTGTGTGTGTGCATGCACTAGCTTGTTTGTGCCACTAGTGATTCATGGGGAGAGGCCAAGAGTGTTGCTCAAACCCTCAACACCCAGGGCAGACTTCCCCTCCTGATCCAGCAGAGAATAATTTGACCCAAAATGCCAAATAGTGGCCAGCATCTGCAGCGCAGTGAGGTGTTTAACAGGACCACAGATGCCTTGCCACTGTTTCCAGCAGAGGTGGGGTCCACTGTGCCCCGCTGTGCCCAGGGGAGTCCGGGAAAGTCCGTGCCAGGGCTGAGGTTAAGGGGCCTCGGAGCTTCTGGAATGGATCGGGGATGGGACGCGGTCAGCGAGAGGGAAGCCAGGGGTCCCGCTGGTCACCTTGTTCTGGACAGAGCTTCCTTGCCCCGGGCGCGGGCCCTCCTGTGTTCCCAGTCGGCCCCCAGGAAGGAACCCGAGCGCGCAGCATCCGGAGCGCTGTTTCCTCCTCTGCCCCTCCTCAGGGGAGGCCTTAGGGCCACCGGGGGTGTGGGGGTAAGAAGAGGGAAATCGAGTCACACTCAGGGTGGGGATCGGGTACACCGCGAGGTCGCAACCTCCCGCATCCCGCGTACTGCTCCTTTGCGCCCCCCCAACCCGAGACCTCGAGATTCCGCCCACGTCCGGGGAGGACTCGGGCATCTGCGCTGGCCCCGTGAGAGTCCCTACAGTCAACCCAGCGACCCGCAGTTCAGGGTTCCTACGGCCCGCATTTAGACCCGGCCCGGAGGAAGTGGGGGCGCAGCTGGAACCCGTCCCGCAGCGCGCCTAGAGTCGGGGACAGGGGGTGCCACTCAGTCCCCGTCTGCGTCCGCACTTGGCACCCTGGCTGCGTCCTGTGAGATCTGTCATTGTCAAAGCCCAGAGTGCATTAGGCTCGCAGCTTGGCGAGGAAACCACTCGAGGTCCCGCGGCGCCCCCCGGTGTCCTCCAAGGCGCTGTGCAGTCGCGCAACCAACCGAGACAGGTGGAAATTGGGAAGACCCTGAAACAGGGTGACAAAGAAAAGAATCAACAACTTGTGCGTATCTGTGTACAAAGCATGCTCTGGTACGTCTGTTTTTTTTTTTGTTTTTTTTTTACAAAACTAGAAACAGAGTGTTTATGCAATTTGTTGACCTTCTGCTTCTACCTGAATGCGTTTTCATGCAAATACATTGAATTCTATGACACTGTAATTGCTTGTCAAACTGAATGGTATTTCACACAAAGTGATAGTAAAATGTACAGCATCTATGGGCATTAGTGTAAGTCGGAGGTATGTTAAGTACTTGACATGGATAATCTCGTTTTACATTCATGGCAGCTCCATAAAGTATTATGATTACTCCCTTTTCATAGCTGAGGATGTTGATGTTAGAGAGCATGATCTCCCCAAGAGGTGGAGACGTGGTCAAACATAGACATTTACTCTGCATTGTGAAGCATATTAAGACTGACTCTTATTGTTATCATACGTGCTGTTACCTTTGCGTATCACAACTCACACACACATACACACACCCATGTGATCATAAGTTTGTTTGCTTATCCCTTATAGTAGATCTTTGGATGGATCCATGAGTCAAATTGCATGGATTGTAGTGGTTTTACATTTATTACCAAACTTTTCTCCAAAATGTTCCACTTCACCCTCCGTAGAAGACTACTGGAATGTGTGCTTTTATATTCTCATGCTACACTGTGTATCAGCACATTCTTCCCTAGAAGAATGAACTAATAGACTCTTAGAAATGATCTGATATAGTGAAGAATATGCTGGTAGACACTATAGTCATGTATATATATTATATGTAGACTATATAGACAGCACACACACACACACACACACACACACACACACACACACACAGAGTCAGCCTTCTGTATCTTTGGGTTCCACACTCACGGATTCAAATAACCGCAGATCAAAATACTTGAAAGAAGCCAGTGTGGTGCTGCATACCTGTGATCCCATCATCAGGAGGGTGAGACAGGATTGCAAATTTGAGGCCAGCCTGGACTACTTAGTGAGACCTTGCGCAAAAAAAAAAAAAAATGAAAAGACATCACATATATATATATATATGTCAGGTAAAAGGCCAAAGACCAAGACCAGACCAGGCCACAACAAGCCTTTATTAGGGAAACAGATCTCCTGGGCTGTCTCTGAACAAAGGAGAGACAAAAGCAATATGGCCAGGGCAGGGAGAGTCTTTTACAGAGACTGGGGTGGGGTTTGTGGGGGCTGAGGTGGGGTTGAGTGAGGTAGTGACTAGGGAATGGAGGAGCCGGTGATGTCACTAGGTGGTAGGAGGTGAGTATTGGGTTACTCTCTAGGCAGGAACAGGGGCATACTGGGAAGAAGGGTTTGTTCTTTGGTGGGAGCAACCATCTTGGCATGACGTCACACAGGGGAGGGGGCAAGGCACGATAGGAAGAGGGCAGCTACTATACATAATAGCTGCTGAGGTGGTGGGAGACCTGTCAATATATATATTTGAAATTAATATATATAATCATATATATATATATATATATATATATGAAATTATGTCTTTGCTGAACAAGGATGGACTTTTGATGTTTTCCCCTAAGCGATGTAGTATAACAAGTCCTTACACAGCATTTACATTGTGTCAGGCATTCAAAGTCATCTAGTGGTGACTTAAAGTACAGGCGAAATGTGCAGAGATTCTGTACAAACCCCTCCCTGTTTTCTATAAGGATTTGAGTGTGCTTGGATTTTGGTATCCTTGGGGGCTCCTGGAACCCATCTCCCAAGGATACCCAGGGACGACTTGTGTGTGTGTGTGTGTGTGTGATGTGTGTGTGTGTGTGTGTGTGTGTGTGTATCTAAATGATCTCCAATTTAAACAAAAGCTCTTTCAGGCTCAGGCACTTTTTCAGCGCGTAAAGAGTTCCTGCAACCAAATGCCAGAGAACTGCCATGTGAGGCAGGAAGCCTGAGCACAGTCAGTGGGCCCCCCTGTTAGCTGCAGGAGTCAGTTCTTGCGAAAAGGCCTTTCAGTATCTCACATTTTCATTTCCTCCCCTCACTTGTGCCAAAGGAAGTAGAATGAAGAAAGGAAATCATGAAGATAAAAGCCATAGTTAATGAAATAGCAAACACACATAAATGAGAGAATCGAGACCAACAGTAACTCTTGGAAAAAGAAGGAACCACAAGCAAGACTGGAAAAGCTAATCAAGTAGACAGACAGAAGACAAGAAACAGTAGGATGAAAGGGAGACCTGCTTGAAGACATTTCAGACATTCAATAGGTAAGAACATACTATGGTCAACTTAAAATGCAGATGCAGTGGAGTAATGCATTTTTAAAACACAACTTGTCATACTGATTTTAGAATAGAAAATCTGAAAATTCTTATGATCATTAACAAAACTAACTACATATCCACGAGACTTAAAGGTTCTGGGTTTCTTTACTCCACAGACAATGTGCCTACCAGGAACACCTAAGGTCTCCAAGCTTCTCCAGGCCACCAATGCTGGGTTCCAGACCTCTGTCCCATTGTGTCCCGGGGTAGGCACCCCCCTCCTAGAAAAACCCAGTGTTTTGGGTCTGCCACGCCCCTTCTCAGCCTCCATCCGGTTTTTCTGGTTTGGAGTTGGTGTTTTTGTTTGCTGATTCTGGCCTTTGAGCCCTCCCCTGTTTGCCTATGAGCTCGGCTGTGCTTCTTAGCCTCTCCTAACTTTAAGTTAGCTAAGTACATTAATTAGCTAAGGTCTACTCTGCCATATGTTGAGTTCTGCAGTCTAATAAATGGCAAGTATTTTTGATTCAGAAAGCAAAGTTGCTACAGCAGGGGGCTACATAGAATCCTCTCTTGGAGGGCTGAGAAATCCATAGAGTTGTTCAGAAGAACTGACACATATAATTGATTGCTGCTGAGTTACATTGATTTCTGGAATCAGCATTTTAAAAGGTGGAATTAGGGCTATCTAATGCAAACTTGCTTTGAAACAGGTGCCATTTCAGATTCAAATGACAGAATGTGGTCGGGAAGAAGCAGTGTACACGTTAAAGTTCCATGAGGCTGTGCAGATGCCACTTAAACACTGATTCCTGAGGCGAGAGTTCTTCTGCCAGCTCACATCAAAGCACTCAGTGAAGGTGAAGGCGAATGACCTTTGGGCTCTGCAACCCTGCTTTCTTCCGCTCTCCTGCCTCCCTTTCTCCTCTTGCTAGATGGCAAAATTACATGAAGATCTTAATTTGAAATTCTTAAGGGGAACAAACCAAGAAGAATAGAAGGGGCTCTTGTCCAAGAATCTTAGGCCCCTCCAATATGAGACATTCCTGAGACAGAAAAATGTGTCTTCTCCGTGGGAACCAAGACAGTTTTGCTGTGTCCTCTACACACGAGAATAAGCTATCCATCTGATAGCCTCATAATAAGATGTGCCCTTCTAGTCTCAGCACTCTTAGAATGAATTATTTAACATACTCCTATTGTTCCCATGTAAGTCCTGTGTAGAATGCAGAGCTCATTTGGGGGAAAAAAGGAAACACTGGAAGTAGCAAAAAAAAAAAAAAATGCACCTGAGCTTATGGTTCCTGCCAATGGTAAATTCACTGCTTGCACTTTTGCATAAAAATGTTTTTACTCCTTTCTTCCATGGTGTGCACAAAGTAACGACTCTTCCCGGACACCTGCAGAGAGACCTATGAGAATGTCTGATAATTCTTACCATGTTGGCCTCTGCATCTTCTCTCCAACCTGCTCCTAAGCAGAGCACATCTGCCACGAAATATCAGCAAAAGAAGGCTTCATTAAATATTAAATGCTGTTTTCTGCCTTTGCAAGCATTTGCCCTATACAAAAAACCCTCACATGGTGAAAATGTACAGAAGAGCAGCAAGAACTTGATGAGCCGTCAGCAGCTCTGTGCAGGCGGCAGCCCATCGGTGTGCGGCCAGTTTCTTACTCTTAGCCACCTGCTGCAGCCCCAAGTGGAACAGGGATTTCAATGATGTCTCTAAATGATCATTAAAGTGGAACCTTGAGACAGTACATTTGTTCAGCATCTTCAAGATGCATAAAACCTATCTGTCCAATAGCTAATAATTCAAATAAAGAGAAAAAGTAAATGTGATATAAGCTTTATATTGATTTTTTCAAAATTTGCTCCTATGCATTTACGTATGTAATTGGAAATAAAGGGTTTCTATTTTACGTCACCTTGGAATTTTCCCCTTCTATAATCTTAAACCCTTCCTTGAAAGATCTCAGAGGCGGTTGGTTTTCCTTCTACTGCCCTCTGGTGGTCTAGTCGCTGACTGGTCTGGTTCACAAGTGTCAATACGCTAAAGGTTTTTCAATAAACAGATTTTTTTATGTAATGACAAATGTTCACGGAGAAATCTGGTCAGTAGATTTTTATTTCTCGTGTATCTGACATTTGTTATGTCTGAATTCACAGATCCTTTTTACTTAACTCCAAATCATCATGACTTCAAGTCATTCATGTGTACATTCATATCTATCTTGTATTATTTTAGATTCTACATTATAACATATTAAGGTTGAAACGTGGACTTTCCTATCTGCCTTGATAGTTATGAATTTTTTGAAAAGTTAGTATTATAAATTTTAAGACTACAGGAGAAGAGCTGATTATTTGCACACTAATATGTGGCTTCAACAAACTCTCCCCAAACTCAGAAAACAGCATCGGCACTGATTTCAAACACCATGAAACTGGTGGATCTGAAAGGACGGGTCAGGGAGCTTCTCCTACTGTCATATCTTCTTGTCAGAAACTGCGACCTGCTTTTCTGCAGCCTGTGATTAGCACCTTCTGAAATCCCAGATGTGCGTTAATTCCATTTATTGTATTGCTTCAAATAGATGGAGACAGTGTCTCCGAGATGTGTGATCCAGATGGCTTTCCGACAAAGAGGAATCTCTCCACCTCTGTGCCTGCATCCAGCTCTGAGTGACGCCCCATGCTTGCTGCCAGGCTCGCCTCTCAGTCATTTGCCCAACCTTGGAACACGTCCTCCCTTCTCTCTGCTCACTGATGAGATATAATTTACGTTGATTCAACTCTTCACAAATTGCCATCTGTCAGCTTTGCTTTCCTGAATCCCTCATCCCATTCCTTCAGTGCATTTGGTTGGACTGGCAGAAGCTCAGGTATTGGCTTGGAACAAGGTCTCTCTCCACAGCAAAGGCCCCGTTGGAAACTGGCTCCTACCTCATGATGGTGCCATCTTATCATGGTCTCAATGGTGGTGATGTTTTCAACTTGGCTTTTCATTCTCCTCTAATTCACAGGAAATCTGGTGGGAGCCCTACTGGTTTCGCTAGCTGTGGGACTGGATTAAGAGGCATTTGACATATATGTTCTCCAAAGAATCTGCCTGTGTTGGTAGAGAGGCTCTTGCAGTGCTGCAGGTGCTGGGGATGTGGAACCTTCACAGCCAGAGCACCCAGATTCCTGCCTCTTCTGGAGCCTGGAGCACAAATCAGTTTCACTGAAGACTTCCATCCAAAGGGGCTGTCTTCATATTCCTTGTAAAGATCTGAACAAATCTTTCTGTAGGCCTGGAACGTTAATTCTACTGAGGAAGTAGACAAGTATCATTTAATTAATAAGAATATTAAGGCATGATAAAAATCTTAATGTGGACAGACTAAACTTAAACATGTATTAATGTTAATGTTTTTAGAAGTGCTTCCTCTATCCAAGATTTCTAAATTTTGACCTAATTGACATTTGGGGCCAAGTAATTCTTTACTGTGGGAAGCCACCCTGTACATTGTCAGATGTTAGTCAGCATCCCTGCCCTCTTCCTACTGGATGTCGGTACACCTGTCCCCAGGTTATGACAAACAAGACTATCTCCAAACTTTGCCATATGTCCTTAGGGAATAAAATTGCACTCCCTTATTAAGAATCATTGTCATTACCGATGAATATTAGTGAAAGAAACATCCTAAAACATGAGTGATTCTCCAGAAGTCTAGGTGGTTTTAGCTAACTTCCAAGTGACCTCAATGTAAAAGAAATGAAATAGAAATTCAAATATGAAAGAAAAGGGTAAAGACTGGGGAGGAATATGGACATATTTTGTACAGAAATGAAAATGATCATGGGCTCTGAACATCACCCCACCAGATCTGGGCCCTGAACACAAGGACTCATTAGCCAAGTGTTCTATGGAGGTGTTTCTAAATACGTATTTCTTCCTTTATTGGAAACCAGAAGCCTGTGGAAACTTGTGATGGATCACAGCTAGTGGTAATTGCCTTTAGAACTACTGATCTAATGGGTAGATTCTAAGTAATAAAAGGAGGGACACACACACCCCCATAGCCCATGTAGATGTCATGGTCTACCTTAGCTACTTTTTCTAGTTGCTGAGACAAAATACCTGACACCCAAAATTGAAGGGGGAAAGGTTTATTTTACCTCACAGTTTGTAGAGGCTTCAGTTCATAGTTGGCTGGCTTCAAGGCACGGTAGCATGGCAGAGGGGCATCACAGAGGCGAAACAGTTCATGCCAAGGAGAAGGCAGCAAGCAGCAAAGTAGAGAAGCAGCAAGTCTTAAGCAGCAACAGCAGCAGGCCTCCTTCTGTCCGTCAATCCTAGCATCACACCATGAATCAATCCCAGCATCACACCCTTGACCCCAGCATCACACGCTCTAGATCCAGCCACTCCAGAGAGCCCCCGCCTGTGACTGCATAAGGCTTAGATACAAGCCATCTCACAGATCTTGGGTATGGGCCTTCTGAATATACCCTTCTTGAAGATCTTTATCCACTTGAAATTCAGGCTTTTCCTGGGAACAGTCCCTATGTTCAAAGTAGCCATCAAACTATATCATATGGCAGCTCTGTGACCCCAGGTAAGCAGGGGACTGTAAATCTATTTTAGCTCCAAGCCATCATTTCCGATGGACATGTTAGAACACATGATGTGAGTCTATCATAACAGTTTCTTTATTTTGTGGAGTTGGGTATACCATGAGCTAACTCATGCTCCTGAAATATGAAAATCTATAAAATAAGAATCCAATGTAACATGGTCAGTTCTGAGACAGAAGTTTAAGTTGAACCCAAACCCTTGCATTATAGAAGAATTATATTGTAGGCAACTATTCAGAGTGTACTGCTTCTCCCACTAAAAAATAATACCTGGCTCTGTAATTTGGGACTAATGTAATGGAATCCATCAGGCCCATCATGATTGATAGAGACCTTTCTTATAGTTATAAAAAACATAAGTAGGCAGACTTTGCTAAACCTAATTTTCTGTACCTATAAAATAGATGATAATCGTGATATAAAAGTTCCTGTGTCTGCCAGGTTTGCTATAAGGATTAAATAAGATACCTGATATAAAACATATGGTTGTTTGTCAGCACACAACATCAAGGGCTCAATAACTCTTAGCTGCTAGTACTTTATTATAGTACATATTGTTGCCACAGAGGCTACTAGTGATGCCATTTCTACATCCAACACTTCAGTAGAGTTGTCTATTGTTATGGTTTGGGTATAGTGCAGGCTTATCTCCCAAAGGTTTGACTGTTGCAAGTTTGGTCTCCATTGTGGTGGAATTAAGAGATGGTGGGGTCTTCAAGAGGTGGGATTTCATGGGCAGTCATCAGGTCATTGGGGGCATCACTCTTAAAAGAAATTAAGATGGTTCTCATGAGACACTAGCTAGTTCTCATGAGAGGGTTACTATCAAAGATCAAGACTGGCTCCTCCTTAGTCTCTTGATTACTCACCTTGCCATATGATTTTTCCTCTCACATGTACTTCTGCTAAGAACTCCAAAACTGTGAGCTCTAGACCTCTTTTCCTTATATATTTCCTGCCATTGAGTACTTTGTTGTAGCAATGGAAAACAGACTAATACATCTATCAAAGTAGAACTAGGGAAAATCATACCCAAAAAAACCTAGAAACTTTAAATACTTCAGAGTTAACCATCCTAGCAACAAAAAAAGAAATTTTAAATCCTTCATAAAAGAGATTGGAAAACTTTCATTGAAGTAAAAGTCACTGCAATTTTGTCAAGAAATGTGGAACTGATATATAAAATCCTAGCTTAAAAGGTCAACAGAACATCCAATCATGTAGGATTGAGTGAAGATTTTAGACTTCTGAATGAATCCTAAACAGTGAGACACTCAGTAAAACTTTAATTATTAAAAATGTATCAATATGCATATAAGTTCCTTGCATTCTAGAACTGTGAAATCTCTTCAACCTTTGGAGTGTGAAGAGCCCTAAGAGAATGTTATGGTTTGTATCTAGATGTCCTCCAAAAGCCTCATGCACTTATAGGTAGGGCTTTTGGGAAGGGGCTGGATCATGGGTGTGTAATACTGGGATTAAAGGTGTATGATAACAAAATTAATCCAGTGATTGGTTAAGCACAGTCTTGGGTGTGGATAATGGGAAGACCCACACTGGATGAGAGTGGCACCAACCAATGGGCTTGTAGCCTGGATGGGATAAAAAGGAAAAGAAGGCTTGCTGCTGCTGCTGCCTCCTGCCTACCATGCCATGGACTGTTTCTCCTCTGCCATGCTCCTCAGCCAAGCCACCCAACTATGGACTGAAACCTCTACAAACTGTGAGCCAAAATAAACCTTGCCTCCTTTAATTTTAGGTGTCAGGCATTTTGTTCCAGCAATGAGAAAAGTAACTGAGACCAAGAAGTATCTGAAAGATGTCTCTCAAGAAAAATTGTACTGCAATGGATACTTATAAAAGGAAATTCAGATGTTTAACTTTTGATGTTTGTTTTTTAAAGCTTGCTACAAAAAGCCACCAGAGGGGCTAGGGATGTAGCTCAGTGGAAGTGCAAGGCCCTCAGTTTGATACCAAAAAAAGAAGATATCAGAGGTCATAAAAATATTTTGAATATTCGGTAATTAGAAAAGTAAGATAAAATAGAAACATAAGTGTTACTAGATATAAATCAAAAAGAAATAGTTAAATCCCACTACAGAGTGTACCATCATTAAAAACTCATTAGAAATGTAACTAGAGCTTTGGATTGGTATCTTTTTTCA